AACACCGTCATCACGCTGTCGTGCTGACGGAACTCTCCCTTGAAGCTCTACTGGATCGTGAGTTCGTGGGACATCACCGAGCTGAACTAGTGCAGATCGCGGAGGTGCCGTATGTTCGGTACTAGGATCGGTCGATCGTGAAGACGTACGACTACATCAACCGCGTTGTCATAATGCTTCCACTTACGGTCTACGAGGGTACGTGGACGACACTCTTCCCTCTCGTTGCTATGCATCACCATGATCTTGCGTGTGCGTAGGAATTTTTTGAAATTACTGCATTCCCCAACAAGTGCCACTTGACGCGTCGGTGTCATTGGTGTGCTAGAGGAGTCCGTCATCCGGCAATGCAGAGCTTGACAGCAGCGACGTGGAACGAGAAGAAGACAGCGCAGGTGTGCGCGCTGCATCCAAGGAACCCCCCTCCCCTGTCTGCGCGCAGACCATGCGGCCTGGGACGCGGTTTGCTAGCGGGTCTGGCTAACTAGCGCAAATCCTAGGATAGATGCCCTGGCAGGATCAGTAGGGGATCTCGTGCGTGTGGCTGAATCAGCTTCACCCTCCGTGTTGTGATCTTCCGTGGCAGATTGTTCCTACATAAAATAACCAACGTGTATAGTGTTTTTTGAAATTTCATCAACATTAGTGTTATAAATAGTTACATGCATCATGCGCATGTTCCCCATGATTCAAAGGAGTGAAAGGATTAAGGCGGATAGGTGGTAGGATCTCGGCTGGAAGTTGTGCGCCAACATTAGGATGCATGATAGAAAAGGGAAATATGACCTCATTAAAACGACATCTTGAGATATATAGACTCGACCGATGGCGACATCAAGATATTTGCACCCCTTATGAAGGCCACCATAGCCTGTAAACACACATTGCTTTGGGCATAATTGAATTTATGTTGATTGTGAGGGAGAAGATTTGGCCATAGTGCACATCCAAAAATTCATAAAAAGGATAGTTTGGTTTAGCATGTAATAGATGCTTCATGAGTGTTTGGAACACGATGGCTTTGCTAGAGAGTTTGTTATTAAGATAAACAACAGTGAGAAAGGCTTCATCTAGAATTTAAGTGGCATAGATGCATGGGCAAGAAGTGCTAAACCAACTTCAACTATATGATGATGTTTGCGCTCAGCTGACCCACTTTGTTGATGGGCATATTAGCATGACACATGGTGAGAAATACCAATGTGATTAAAAGCAATTTAACTTAAGGTATTCACTTCCCCAGTCGGTTTGCATATCAAGGACCTTTTTATCAAATAATCACTCTACATGATGCTAAAAATCATGAAACTCCTATAACAGATCAGATATATTTCGAGAAAATATATCCATGTAAGCTTAGTGAAGTCATCTATAAAGCTTACATAATATATTGGTTTCTGCCTCCATGTAAGCTTAGTGAAGTCATCTATAAAGCTTACATAATATATTGGTTTTTGCCCATTGAAGGTGTGGCAGGATCCTATATATCTCAAAAAATGAGCTCTAGATGAGCATTCGAAGTACTAGCTGAAAGGGAGTTGATGGCTCTTTGCTTTTTGACAAGCATCACAAACTGACTCATTAACATTACTGAAAAAGAAGATTATTTCCTTTAGGACTTTGTTGACCAACACATACAAAGAATGCTTTAGACGCCTATGCCACTAAGAGGAGGATAGTTTCCTTGCTTAAAGAGCTTGCCGCCCTACTGACGGTTTCTATGGTCGGGGATAAAGGCAACCCCTACTCTTGGTGTATAGCAACACCTTCTCCATTACCTAGTCCTTAATGGAGATAAATACATGCCAAAATTGAAGGTAAGCCGGGTTATCATGATCAAGTTTATAGGTTGAGACAAGATTTTTCGATGTGGATGGGGCACACAAAAATATTCTTGAGGGCAATGATTTTTTGATGTGTTTCGCCGACGGACAATGTGGCCCTCACGGCCCCATCTCTAAGGTGGATGTCTAGGCTGCCATTAAGGGCATGAATCCATCATCAGCACCTGGCCTGGATGGCCTCCCAGTGAAGTTCTTCCAGACCTTCTGGGAGATTATTAAGCCGGAAGTGATGGCCCTCTTTGAGGAGTTCTATGTGGGTTCCATCGACCTTACCAGGCTGAACTTTGGGATTATCACCCTCATACCCAAAATAACTGGAGCATCGGATATCTGACAGTTCTGCCCGATCATGGTGATCAACGTCATCTTCTGCATCCTTGCGAAGGGGTACACCATTAGGGTGGCCCCAATAGCGGGCTGGATCATACACCCGGATCAGTCGGCATTCATCCAGGGCCGGTATATCCTTGATGGAGTCCTAGTGTTTCACGAAGTACTCCATGAGGTGCACACCAAACACCTCAAGGTAGTTTTCCTGAAACTAGACTTTCACAAGGCATACGACATGGTCAGTTGGCCCTTCCTTTGGGAATGCCTGCTCCAGAAGGGTTTCGATGATGGCTGGGTAACCCGCATGATGCAAATGGTCTCCTCGGGCCGGACTACGATGAACATAAATGGCGAGATTGGCCCCTACTTCCCCACATTCTGTGGGGTCCGTCACGACGATCCCTTCTCTCCGTTCCTCTTCAACGTGGTTGCTGATGCTCTGGCAGCCATCCTTGATAAGGCCAAGGCCGCGGGGCATATTAGGGCCATTGTCCCGCATCTAGTAGGAGAGAATGGGATCTCCCTTCTCTAGTACGCAGATGACACCATTATATTGGTGGAAGGCTCCCCGAACGACATCATGAACCTGAAGTTCCTCCTGCTCTGCTTCCAGCAGGATGTCTGGCCTCAGGATCAACTTCGATAAGAGTGCAGTCATGGTCTTGGGATACCCCCAAGACGAACGCCAGAGCATCGCGAACCGACTCAACTGCCAGCTTGGGTGCTTCCCCAAGACGTATTTGGGGATCCCCATTAGCGACACGAGGCTCACGGTGCCCGAGATGCGCCCCACGGTGGGGAAGCTTCAGCACCGCATTGAGCCTTGGCAGGGCCACTATCTATCTAAGGCCGCCCGGACGATGCTCATTAACTCGTCCCTCTCCAGCTTGCTCCTATTCATCATGAGTTCTACAGCCTCCCTGAGACGCTGCACCATGAGATTGCCACAGTCCGGGACGCTTTTTCTAGGCTGGCGAGGGCAACAAGCAGAAGTACCACATGGTTCGGTGGTCGGGGATCTGTAAGCCTCGCGATCAAGGCAGACTCGGGATCATGTCCTCCAAACGCATGAACATAGCTCTCCTGACCAAGTGGATGTGGCGGATTGCAAACGGAGAGGGGGGCTTGTGGCTCCGCATCATCCAGCAGAAATACCTCCGTGGTCAGCCACTCGCCTTCTGTCAGCGGCCCGGTGGGTCCCGGTTTTGGCAATCCACCATACAACTGCTCTCAGTCCTCCGCATCGGGACCTCGATTGCGGTTGGATCTGGCACCGCCATGCTGTTCTGGTTCGAAAGATGGGCTGGGGACATCCCCTTCATGGCTCACTTCCCTGACATGTTCTCCATCGCGGTTGATCCGCAGATTTCTGTAGTGGTGGCCCTTATTGGCTTAGGGCACCTAGTGTTCCGGCGACCATTTGGTCCAATGGAAAATGATGTGTGGCAGGACCTGCTCGACTGCATTGCTGTGCACGAGCCGAATCTGGAGATAGGAGAAGACCGCACCAGGTGGCGGCTTGAGCCATCTGGACAATTCGCCGCTAAGTCTCTCTACCAGGCCATAGCCCCCTCGCCGGGCCTTGAAGCTCTCTCCTCCATCTAGGCGATCAGGCTTCCCTTGAAGATTAGGATAATCTTGTGGCAATGGATTCGTGGCCGCCTTCCGTCCGGTGTAGAGGTCCTGAAGCGCAACGGCCCTGGTGATGGGCGATGCCCGCTCTGCGGACCTGGGGAGGATATGAACCATATCTTCTTCACCTGTGTGTCCACGCAGTTCCTCTGGAGCTGTTTACGCGAATTAGTGGGTGGAAGTTGGGACCACAACAACTTCTCCGCTCTCTTCGCCGAACTTTAGGTAGTACCAGCCGCTTCTTGCCACATTAGGTGGCTGACCATCGGTGTGCTGGCCTAGACGCTGTGGACTATTATGAATAAGCTTGTGATTCAGCATGTCCCTCTTCGTCCCGCTACTGACGTTTTGTTCAAATGGTCTGGTTACTTGCAGCTTTGACGGCCGCTTAGCCGCCCCAGGGAGAGAAACGCCATCACCTCCATCATCACCCAGCTTCGCGCGATGGTTCTCCGGATGGCTCCTCCGCTTCCCCCTCCTCCACCAGAGGCGGACTAGATTCTCTCTTCCTCGTCGCCACCGCCGTGTTGTGTTGTGCGTGCCTCATGTCTGTATTGGGCTTGTTGTGTTGTGCCCACAGCTGGATCTTGTGTAGAGTTTTGGCTTGTGTGTTGGACCTTGCCGCGGTGGCGTTGTGTGTGTGTTGTGCGGTTGGTACCTTGTTGACTTTGTGCTTGGTGATTTGCTTTATTTATAAAGCGGGGCGAAAATCTTTTTTGATAAAATATTCTTAAGACATAAAGTATGATCATGGGCAAGATTTTTATCGCACACAACTCACCTTCTGATATCTTGCCCGATGGCTTATCCATCGCATACGTTACGCTTTCTGGCAAACAGTTCTGTTTTTCTACCGTGTGTAATGTTTCAATCACACATATAGATCTGTCTTCGTAGCCCCATCCTGCAGTGAACGAAGGCAGGTTAATTTGACGGATTATTAGATGAACGCGGGCAGAGCGGCCAGGAATCCAAAAGATGCTACCTGCTATCGTTGTCTCTCGATCCCGCCGGTGATACAGTGGTCAACTCTGAAATAACTCCTGCCTCGAGATCCTTAATCAGTGAGCAGGAAGTCTCCCCTATTAAGTGAACACACACCACTGAGCTAGTGCGTACACTAAACTTAGATCACAGCCTGCTCTAGTTCTCAAAGCACCACTGCTTCACTCGCTGTGCCGTAAGACATCGTAGATGATGGTGAGGGCAAGAGAGATGGTGCAAGGTCCCCGTTGCGTCGCGCTGTTGCTGCTCGTCTGCATGGCTGCTCTCGTAGCTTCGGACACCACCGATGGTGAGAGCTTTCAAGCTGTGTTACTTATGTGTTTCATTTCTAGTGCATGGCATATGGCGAGCTGATTAATCATGCCGGGAGCTGTGTTATGTCGTTTTTTTGCATGTTCATCAGGCCTCCTGCCGAACGGCAACTTCGAGGAGGCGCCGGACCGGTCGCAGATGGACGGGACGAGGGTGACGGGCCGCTACGCGATACCGCGGTGGGAGGCCTGCGGGTGCGTGGAGTACATCTGCTCGGGCCAGAAGCAGGGGGACATGGTGCTGCCGGTCCCCGAGGGCGCCCACGCCGTGCGGCTCGGCAACGACGCCTCCGTCCAGCAGCAGCTCAGCGTGACGCCGGGGACGCACTACGCGATCACCTTCAGCGCGGCGCGCACCTGCGCCCAGGCCGAGAAGCTGAACGTGACGGTCGGGGCGCAGTCCGGCGAGCTCCCCATCCAGACGGTGTACACCAGCAGCGGCTGGGACTCCTACTCCTGGGCGTTCGAGGCCAAGGAGAGCGTCGTAACGCTCACCGTCCACAACCCCGGATATGATGAAGACGCCGCCTGCGGCCCCGTCGTCGACTCCTTCGCCATCAGGACCCTCCTGCCACCACAAAGCAACGAATGTACGTACTAGGATCATATCATACATAACCTCTCGTTTTCAGTATAGCTACGTACGTGATTTTTGCATGGATTCGCCGAAGATGACTAACTAAATACTTACACCGGCCGGCAGATAACATGCTGAAGAACGGGGACTTCGAGGAGGGCCCGTACATCTGCCCCAGCACGTCGTGCGGGGTGATGGTGCCGCCCATGGACGAGGACAGCTACTCCCCGCTGTTCCCGTGGGTGATCCTGTCGTCGACCAAGTCCGTCCGGTACGTGGACGCGGCGCACTACGCGGTGCCGCAGGGCGCCCGGGCCGTGCAGCTGGTGTTCGGCGCGGAGAGCGCGCTGGTGCAGGAGGTGTGCACCGTGCCGGGGGTGTCTTACAGGATGGAGTTCTCGATCGGGGACGCGGCCGACGGGTGCACGGGCTCCCTCGCCGTGGAGGCGTACGCGGCGGGCGGGAGGGTGACGGTCCCGTACGAGTCCCAGGGCACGGGCGGGTTCACGCGCGGCGTGCTCGAGTTCACGGCGACGGAGGACCGGACGCGGGTGGTGTTCGTCAGCGCGAGCTACAACATGAAGTCCGACGGCACGGTCTGCGGGCCCGTCGTCGACGACGCCTCGCTCGTCTGCGCGCAGAGCCACGCTCGCCGGCTGCTTCTGTGATTGTGCGGCGCCGCAATGTACGGTCCGTTGGTTTGTGACACGAACAATTTGACCTCTTCCGTTATGGAGTAGGATCTAAAATTCCGGACGGTCGGCAGTTGTAAACCAGGGTTCTGTAATGTATCGTGGATAATTTGCATTAGGGAACATCATTTTAACATTTCTTTACATGTTGTGGAGGTGAATTTTTTTTTTTTTGCGAATTAAGAACTTTATAGTTTGCATTAGGGAACATCATTTAAAGCATTTAAAGCATCATTAGTGTTATAATGGGACTGCATACATCAATCCATAGACATAGACATCTCCTCCTCTCCTCTGTAGCTTGTTTTACACAGCGGTAGGCAAGTAACTTTTGAATGATAGAACACCAGCAAGTGCAAGACGCATAGTTCCGTGGCAGATTTACACGAGCGCATGACGCGGCATCGTGGCAGCCGAGCCGATAGATGCGGCGCCTGCAGCGCCGGGTGCCGGGGAGTAGACCTCTTTTTCTACAGCAGAGCGAGTTGACAAATCTTGTTCCATTTTTTAGGGAAGAAGTGGGCAACCATGTGGCTAGGCCGTTCGGCGACATGGCAGCCCAGTACGCACTTGGGCTCGGCCTGGGCCCACCCAACATGCATGCACCTGCTATCGTCATCGTTACGGCCCAGCCCACATAGCGAGCGGCTTTACCATTGACGCGTCGTCCCCAAACCCCGAGGACCCGAGGCTGCTGCACTGCATCGGGCCCTGCGGTCGTGCGGAGGAAACTGAAGCGTAGAGCAACCGGAAGCGAGCGAGACCCGAGGGATGCTCGGCTGTCCTTCTCGTGCCCTGGAACCCGGCCTCCTCTTGTCGCCTTCCATTGCCAGCCAGCATAGCCAAGTTGACATGACTGCTCCATCGACCCTTCCCCGTTTTAAAGCCCCATTGTTGACAGTGTAGGAGCAGAGAGCCCAGCACCACTTCGCCAGGCACGGGGAGAGATGGGCATGGCGGAGGGGATGCGGCGCCGGTGCATCACACTGCTCGTGCTCGTCGGCGTCGCTGCTCGGGCGGCTTCGGCCGTCACGGACGGTGAGACCTCGCAAACTGGTGCCCCCCGTATACGTTAGCAGGGATCCTTCCGCGAGCGGGCTTCCCAGCGCCATTTCATGTTGCAGAGCTTTTTGTTGTTCTTCTTGCTAGTTTCGGTGCCCTATTCATACCTTAATATGCGCATTCAAATTCAGACTTCAGTGAGAGAGGTGTCAGAATTCTGACGGTGTGACTCGTTGGTAATACGCCGTAGGTAAGCAGAAGTAACTAGCGTAATACTGATTTACGTTGGAAACTTTGTAGACGGAACAAGTAACTAGTGTATACTATGTGTACTCCTCTGTTCTAAAATAGATGACTCAACTTTGTACTAACTTTAGTACATAGTACAAAGTTAGGTCATCTATTTTAAAAAGTTAGGTCATCTATTTTAAAACGGAGGAAGTATATGGATAGTTCTCGTCGTTTTGATTATGCATCTTGTGGACGCCGGGATTGCGGGCGTTGACTGATTTTCCAGTGTAAAGGCACGTACGAAAAAGAGTATACAGCTCAAGATTTGCAAACTGGGCGATCAGATTGTGAAATTATTTTCTGGGTCGTGGAACTGAGAGGGGTTTCTGAACCTGTCGATATTTAATCATCTTGATAAGAATATAAATTGACGAATTGTTAGGGTTACTAGTATACTATTGAAACTCAATTTCCACTGTTGATCATTTTCATTTTTGTGCAAGTGAATCAATTAATGTGCACTGCAGTTTTAGATCACACTCAACTTAATCTTTTAACACAATAGATCTAGCTCATTTGCACGGCTAATGTGTCCCAGCTTTCTGTAGCCGCAAATGGATGAATACTTTTCCATGCTTGATATGGCTAATATGTTCGATCACCTTGTGTGCATAGGCCTACTACCGAACGGCAACTTCAAGGACGGGCCAGCCAAGTCCCAGCTGAACGGCACGGTGGTGATGGGGCGCCACTCCATACCCAACTGGGAGATCTCGGGGTTCGTCGAGTACATCCAGTCGGGGCACACGCAGGACGACATGATCGTGGCGGTGCCGGAGGGCGCCAGCGCCGTGCGCCTGGGCAACGACGCGTCCATCCGGCAGAACATCAGAGTCACGCGGCGCGCCTACTACTCCATCACCTTCAGCGCGGCGCGCACCTGCGCCCAAGCCGAGAAGCTCAACGTGTCCGTCGCCGCGGATTCCGGCGTGCTCCCCGTCCAGACCGTGTACAGCAGCGGCGGCTGGGATTCCTACTCATGGGCCTTCAGGGCCAAGCACAGCGCCGTGTGGCTCGCCATCCACAACCCCGGCGTCGAGGAGGACCCGGCGTGCGGCCCCGTCATCGACGCCATCGCCATCAAGACCCTCCAGCCTCCCACGAAAACCAAAGGTAAGATCGCTAGCTTCCCACATCGATCTGAAGGTTCAACTTGGTAGCGAATCCTAAGTTCCTAACGACCGAGTGATTCAACTCAAACTGCAGGCAATATGCTCAGGAATGGCGACTTTGAGGATGGGCCGTACATCTTCCCGGACTGCCCGTGGGGGGTTCTGGTGCCGCCGATGGACGAGGACAACTGCTCGCCGTTGCCGGGATGGATGGTCATGTCGAGCACCAAGGTGGTCAAGTACGTGGACGCGCCGAGGTACAGGGTGCCGCACGGCGCGCGGGCCGTCGAGCTGGTGGCTGGAAGGGAGACGGCGCTGGTGCAGGAGGTGGCGACCGTGGCCGGGCGATCGTACAGGCTGCAGTTCTACGTCGGGGACGCGGCCAACGGGTGCAAGGAGTCCATGGTCGTGGAGGCCTATGTGGCGGCGGCGAGCCTGAAGGTCCAATACCAGTCCCAGGGCACGGGAGGGTACAGGCGCGCCATGCTCGATTTCGTGGCGATCGGGAACCTCACGCGTGTGGTGTTCCAGAGCCTTCACCACCACATGAAGGTCGACGGCACGCTCTGCGGGCCGGTCGTGGATGACATCTCTCTCGTCAGCGTGCGCAAGCGCGCGGCTCGCCGACTGTTCATGTGAACTCGATTAGTCGATGTACTAGTACGATGCAGAGGCCGGGGCTGTCCTCCTCTCAAAGAAAAAAAAAGTATGATTTAGGCTACCACTAGAATTTTCCATAACTACGAACCATAACTTATGATTGCATGGTTAGAAGGATTGTGGTATCCCAGGACAACAGGGTTCCAATCTTGATGCTCGCATTTATTTCAAAATTTCCGGCGATGCACATTAAGTGAGAGGAGATGTTTCCGTCGAGGACGAGGTGCCTACGGCAACTTCTAAATTTCAAGATGATATGCCGGCTCAGTCTTCGAAGGTGCTCATATGGGTAGGATGTGTGTGCGCACATATTCATAGGGGTGAGTGTATGCGCGTGTATATGAGCGCTTGCGTCTGTACTGCATTCAAAAAAAAAGAATTTTCTATAACTTGGTGTGTTTACCTTGTTCCTTTTGTGACAGATTTCAGGCTACCACTAGAATTTTCCATAACTTTAATACTTTCAAATTTCCCAATTGAAATTAACAGAACAAGCAAACTTCAAACATTTCAACACCATGCAAGAACAAGCTACACATAGCATGACTAAACTGTTTTTACTCCATGAATCCACAAGAGGAGAACAAATGACGCTCAATCTGGAATGCAAAGTCTCAAAAGAGAAATAAAAGAACAGACTTTAGGCTGAACTTGTTCTCATAAGCGAGAACAAAGGACACTACCAGCTGAACTTGTCAACTAAACCACATCAATATTTCCCCCCTCCTTGGGGACGCAGCTTCGGTGACTTAAAGGCACCTGCCTTTGAGTCATTGACATGTGGGCCAGCCACTTGTTGGGCCCACATGTCATAGACACAAAGGTAGGTGCCTTAAGGCACCGAAACATCGTCCCCTCTTTGGACAGGATCGAGCTTCAGCCAATCATCACCATGGATGAAGTTGTAGCCCAGGAAGGGCTTCATCTCGTCCTCACTCAGTTTACGCATCCTGGTATAGCTGGCCTGAGCCTTTGAGCTCGTACCAGAGAAGAGGAATCCGGAGTCGTCTGCCCTGCTGCGTTGAGATCAACGGTGGAGCTATGTGTGTTACTGGGGGGGGGGCATGCCCCCCCCCCCTCCCTAAGATTAGAAAAATTCCTGAAGAATTTTTTATTAGGTGTTAAGATTAAAGATAAATGTAGCCATCTACCTCCCTCCCCCCTCCCCCCGCCCTTCCC